CAAAGCTATACAGAAAGTAATTAGTAGTGCTATATACTTGGATACTGCATCATTTCTGTTTTCTTACTTTTCAATACAAACATTTAAAATATGTATATTTAAAATGAAAAACTACATAACATTGAAAAAACGTGACTCTTTTAACTAGGATTCTAATCAGTCACTATAGGCAACAATAAGTTTCTGAATTATATGACTGCTACCACATAAAAATACAATTTGTGTTTGGCCAGATACAGACTTTATTCAAAAATGTTTAGGGCCATCCCTATGATTAGGCAGCCTGAGGCAGCTTCCTCAGACGGCATCTCATTGGGGGGCACAGGTTGCTTGTGCGGCTAGAGTGTCAGAGGTTGCTAGGAGCTATCACTGCCCAGCTTAATGATGTCACTGGTTGAGAGACCTCCCCAGGTCCACCGGCCATCACCTTTAGCAACACCCCATCTCCCCCGCCTCATGCAGTGAAAAGTGTAGGGACACCCCTGAAAATGTTGGTATATAACATAGCTTATTGACACTTTCTCATGTTAAGTTTTTGTGAATCAACCCCATTGTGTTTGAACATATTATTATACAATATTTATATTTTAGCACCATTAATTGGAGAATTAGTACCAGAACTATTTTTCTTATTTGCATTACAGTTGTAAAAACTCCTTGCAGTTGTTGTACAATTTAACAATATGTCTAGTTTAACAGTAGACATGTGACCCTATATTTCTTGAGCATATGAACTGCCAAGTGTTTCTTTTAGGTTGCGTGGATACAGAAGAAGCTGATATTTACTTTTTGATTGATGGTTCGGGTAGCATTTACCCAGAAGACTTTGAAGATATGAAGAATTTCATGACTGAAGTAGTGGGTATGTTTCAAATCGGACCAAACAGAGTGCGCTTTGGAGTAGTGCAATACTCTGACAACCCAAGAGTGGAATTCACTATCAATATGTTCACTGCACAGAAGACTCTAAAAGAAGCAATAAAACAAATCTACCAGCTTGGAGGGGGGACCCAAACAGGGAAGGCTCTGCAATCAATGAAAAGTCTCTTTGCTACAGCTGAAAGTGAACGGCCCAATAAAGTTCCCCAGTCCTTGATCGTCATTACAGATGGAGAGTCTCAAGACCAGGTGACTGAAGCTGCAGCAGAAATTAGAGGAGAAGGCATCACTGTATATGCCATAGGTGTCAAAAATGCCATACAACAACAGCTGGAAGACATAGCTGGGAGCAAAGACAAAATGTTTTTTGTTGATAATTTTGATTCTCTGGATGTGATCAAACATGAACTGACTCGAGATTTGTGTACACCAGAAGGTAAGCAGAATTAAGTTTTACAATAAAGCATAGTAAATAATAATCATAAAAGACATGATGACCGAAAAGTAATCTAGAATTTTACAGGTTTTTATCTACAATGACTTTTATCTTTCACATAATAGTTAGAACAAGGGGTAAACAACAAAAAAATCTATTTCATTTGAACACATAGTTATTGTAGTATGCTTTCTGTTATACTTATGTTTACTCCATAAAGGGAATGTTTTCAGTCTTCTAACATAGACGATATACCACCAAATGATATATGACACCCTCTTCTATCATATATGGGTGAAGGATTCAGGGAACACAGGTCTCCATATTGTCTCTCTTTTTGGGTGCCAGAGTTTCCTTTGTGCTGGCTGATAAGTAGATTGGTTGAATAGCAGCATAACAGACTTTCTTCCACACATTATGAGCTTTTATGTTGCAAAAATGAGACTCTGAGTATAGCTACCTGGAAGAGTTATAGAATCCCAGGATAGTCATATAAATAAAATATACTGTATAGGTATGTATGAAGCGAAATGTCACCACTTCAAATAACAGCATCTTTGGCGTGAGAAATAAAAAGTTATCCTTTCACCAAGAATTTGATGAAAGCTACATTGAACTGGCAAACATAACACCCTAATATAAGGGGCATGTAATTCCCCTTTTACATTGTAAACATTTAGCTTTTAATTAAATCAGAGAATAATATCAAAAAGATCATGCCATAAGGTTTTCTTCCTACTAATGCAAGGGAAAGCAAAGATTGAGCTGACATCTTGCTTGTCAGAGCATCCAGTGGCCAGATACCCTCATCACAATGATACATTGACATGGCAATTATGAAGCCAAGTGATAGCGTCATCCTTTCCTTATTTGATTTCCACAATAAAAAATGAACAAATAATGGAGAAATCCATCTGTATGTATGTGCTATATTTGTTATGGTAGTATGAGACAGGGTGGAGAGTTCAGCTACTTAGGGAAAATGTTATCATTGCAATCTCTAAGCAATTAAAGAAGCCAAGACATAATTCAATCATATCAGTTTTGGGTTGCATTAACCTTCAAATTAGACAAATTATATTATTAGTATGAACGTTAACAGTAAATATGAAGTATGAAAGAAGTCTCTTTGTAAACAAACTCTGTAAAAGCATTACACTTAGAATATCAATGTAATAACATATTGTCCTTTAATATGGTTTTGTTGCTGCCTTCATTGCTTGCCAGAATAAAAACAAGATTTTCCATATATATTTATGTCTGTCTTTTTCTTGCCTTCAGCCTGCAAGAACATGAGAGCGGATATCCTGTTTCTGACTGACAGTTCTGGCAGTATCAATAACAATGATTATGAGAGGATGAAAGAATTCATGAACTCCCTAGTTAAGCAGTCTGACATCGGTCCAGATAAAGTTCAAATTGGCTTAATCCAGTTTAGTTCTGAAACCAGAGAAGAGTTTCCACTAAACAAGTACACAAAGAAACATGAAATTCAAGATGCCATTTCGAGCATGCAGAAATTGGACCAAGGAACCTTGACTGGAGCCGCTTTACAAAATGCATTGCCATATTTCAGCTCTGCCAGGGGAGGAAGATCAAAAACAAAACAATATCTTATTATAATCACAGATGGAGAGTCCTCAGATCCAGTAGCAAAACCAGCTGCTGCTATTAGGAGCAAAGGTGTTGACATTTATGCCATTGGTGTACTGGATGCAAACAACACACAGCTGTTGGAGATTGCAGGAAAGCAAGATCGTGTATTCCTTGAGGAGAGTTTTGATGCCCTGGCCTTTCTGAATAAGCAGATCATGTTTGAGATTTGCAGTCCTGAAGATTGTAAGTTTTATTAGATAGCTCTCAGCCCTTTTTTTAACCTTAGCCCTTAAAGTAGTATTAAAGGAGAACTATGGGGTTAGGGCTTTTCCCCATAGTTCTCCTAAGGGTAACGGGAGGACACATCCAAAGCTCAGTATACAGCGAGCTACAGCTCGCGTTATACTGAGACGCTGCAGCCGGAACGGATCCCGACAATTTTGTCTGGATCCACCCAGTGACAGCTGGCTCTGACTATCTAGAGGCAGAGCCAGCTGTACCTGCCCCTCCCCGTCCGTTCCGCCAGTCAGTGCTGGAGGTTCAGGACAGGGTTAGGGGGGGAATCCCTGCAGGGAGGCGTGAGTGACAATCACGGCTCTCTGCACGGATAGATTGAGAAGTGAGCGAGCGCCGGTATGTGTTCGCTCACTTCCCGATCTACTGAGCCGACCTGTGAAAGTTTCATTGTCACAGGTTGGCTCAAATTATGAGGCTGAGTGAAAATTTTCAATAATGAATCCAGATCAAACAAATAAATTGCCCAACAAAGAATTGCTTTACTTTTGTGCCCAGATACTTACAATCATCATGATGTTGAACAGCTGCTTTCAAAGCTCTAAACTCAGCTTCTCTGAACTTCCTGTCCAGTACATGATCAAAAGGGACAGTGCAGACTCCAGCAACTGTTTGTCTACTAGCTTGGAGAAGGGAGGAGAGGAGGCCAGGCAGGAAGGGAGAAGCTTGATTTGCTGTGTCTGTGTGTTTGTGGAGACACACACAGCTTACTAGCACACACAATGGTGACTGCATAGCACTCTGCTTGAGAAAGGAGTCACTCTAAAACAGGAAGTCAGAACCAGTACTCAGGGGACCAGCTGATTCTGCAGAAAACTACAACTTTTAAAAAACAAGGAACATCATTCATTCAAAGCGATTAAATCAGCATTTGGAATTGCTTAAAATCATTTTGGCTTTACTATCACTTTAAAGTGAACATGGCATATGGCAATAATAAAGTAACAACAGCAGTGAAATGCAAGTAGCTTATGTGACCTGCAAAAGCCCTTTGGGCCATAGGACCATGCTGTGCTGTCTTAACTTCTGCCCAAATTGACGTTAAACCCAACCACTTCTAGCACTGGGCCCTGCCACATTCCATTCCACTGCTAAATTCTAAAGCATTTACTGCCCATTAGGACTGGTATTTGTTAGCAGATAATGTGATTGAATTGTCACTGTAAATTGAATAACAGCAGGAAAGAGGGTTCTGCTATCTGCTAAGTAAGATTCCATCGTCTTTTGAGAAAACTCTGTTGCTTGGTTAATGGTTACTTTAGAATATTATCTCTCAAGCTTCATTACTACATAGTGGCCCTTCTTTCCTGGAGCACATAGGATATTTGCTTTTTTGTCCCTTTCTTAAAACTAACTATAGACTCTAAAAACTACTACTATCTGTCTATAAAATGTAAATCTTATTTATAATAATAATAATTAATATATTATGTTGTGTTTTGCAGCATGCAAAAGGACAGAGGTTGCAGACATCATATTTTTAGTGGATGCCTCTGCAAGCATCACTGTTTCCCAGTTTAAAATTATGCAAAGATTTATGGAAGCTGTAGTAAATGACTCCGTGGTTGGAAAGGAAAATGTGCAGTTTGGTGTCGTGACCTATGCCACAACACCTGCAGAAAAATTCTCTTTGAATGCCTATTCTACCAAACCTGAAGTCCGAAAGGCTATACATGATTTAAAACGACTAAAAGGACTTACCTATACTGCAACAGCTTTAGAGTACACCCAACAAAGGTTTAATACAATTTATGGTGGTCGTCTTGGAGTCACACGGATTATAATTCTCATCACGGATGGGGCAACAACTGCTGAAGACAGACCCAAATTAGATACAGTACCTCAATCTTTGAGAGACAATGGCACTATAATCTTTGCTGTTGGAGTTGGTGGAGCCAAACGGGAAGAGCTTGAGAAAATTGCTGGACAGCCAAATAGATGGTTCTTAGTAGATAATTACAACAGCCTAGAAGGTTTGCATGAGAATATAACACACATTGTTTGTGATCAATCTAAACCAGGTAAGTAAATCTTATAAACTACAAAAAATTATGCGATTTAAATTCTTTTCTCTTAGCTATATTTATTTTTCTGTTAAAAACCTTGGTTGATGGTTGCAGCACAAAATGTTGCCAGTCACTGATTTAAAGTTATTTTTTAATTTAGATTTTTTAATTTAAATCTTATATTATCTTCAGTTTGTATGAAACAGGTAAGCAATCTTTTAAAGCTAGCGTTCCAAAAATGTGAGAAATTAAGAGTGCCAAATATATCAAACAAAATGTCTACTTTCAGTCAGCAAAATAAATATTTAACTATGTAACTATAGGGTCTATTCACTAAGCTGCCGAGGGAAGCCGAGTGAACAACCGACTTCAAGTGAAGTGAGCCGAACACTGTTCGGCTATTCACTTCAGGCTTCTACGGCTGATTTCAGCCGTATATCGGCTCAAATCAGCCGTACATCGGCTTGCTTTGTGCGGCTTCGGGTCAGCTCCCGCCCTCTGCTTCTGTCAATCACTATAGGGGACCTGATGGAGAACTGCAGGTCCCCTCTGCTGATTGACAGCAGCAGTGGGCGGGTGCAATAGCTAGTTTGCTATTGGCTATTGCAAATTGAAATAGCCAATAGGAATGTAGCTATGCATTCCTATGCTTAATGACGGCTTGCTCCGCCCAGCAGTCTGTAGCAGGCTGTCGGCCGGCCAATGGCCGGCCTTTCGGCCAGCTTCGCCTTTCACCTCGGCTCGACTGAGCCACTCGGCCGACTTCGGGAGCTGTAAGGGCTATAGTGAATAGCCCGTACAGCAGCCCTTCGGTTCTACTGAACTGAAGGGGTCCTGGGGCCCGAAGCTAGCCGAAGGATCAGCTGAAGGATCAGCCGAAGCTATGGCTAAATCCTTCGGCAGCTTAGTGAATAGACCCCTATGTAACTATGTGCCAGTGACTGGAGTAAAAAAAAAAAAAAAACAGGAGAGACAATCCCTTAGATAGACACAACAGATATCCACATTGATAAATGTATCCTTTATTCCTGTTACCATGACAAATGTGACATTTTGTTTTTTCCCATCAATTTTCCTCACAAGAGGGTGCACACAATATCCCTGGCAGGAACACAGAGAGTAATACAACTTGGAGGGTTTGTTTGCTTAGGAAAATGTACCTTCACTTCGTGTCCTAGAGACACAACAGAAATTGAAAGGAAATCTCTTCAAAGTGAGAGGGAATCCCCTCTTACACAGTTGTCTCTGGAACTGTGATTTCATATTGAAGCTATGGTCCTTTGGCTGTCAGTGCATGCTGGGAGTAATGGTCTCTCAGCTGCTCAAGGGTGCTGGGGGTTGTGGTTTTTACAGCTATCCGAGCATGCTGCGGTTTGTGGTCTCTCAGTCCCCCAAGCATGCAGGGAGTTGTGGTCCCTTATGTTGGCAAATTTTAGCCATCCCACCACTACTTAATTTTGTAGTTCTTTTTCCTC